TAATCCATGGAATATTTCTTAAAACTAAAATACAAATTTTCAGGTACTTTTTCTTAAATTAATTTGTAAGGTTTCCAGCTGCAACCTTTTAATTTGTAAGTCTATTTCGCGCGCCTCTTGTTGGCTACGATGCTTCTCCTCTTTTATCTCTAACATTCGTTCTTGCACCAGCAGTAACTTCTCTTGAGTTTCCAACAATTTGTCCACCTTTGTGTCTAGATTTCTATGAAAGTCGGACACGGATTTCACATTTTCTTGGAGCAGGGCCAACTTTTCATCGCTCCCACTTTTTTTCCGCGGAGTTTTGGATTGAGGGGTTTTCCTACCCCTGGGAGTGTAAACTGCCGTTGATGGACCAGGCAAAGAGCTGAGGGATTCTTCGTCGCTACTCGCATTACTGCCGCTGGAATTTGTAGAGGCCTGTGTAGCCGGAATACTGCCGAACGCTGGTACGCTTTTGTTGCCTTCTACACACACTTCAAGGCCAGCTGCCTCAATAATCATTTCTTCAGCGGCAGTGATGACCTTTTCTTGGTAGGGTCCCCCACCAGTCCGCTGCTTGGACGACTTGTTGAAAGAAAGCTTCTTTTTTGCCTGATACTTTTGATCTGCGAAAGCCTGGAACGTGGCCAACATTAATGATTTGTTTTCGAAAAAATATTATAATCATATCTGTACTTACTTTCCTCCACATCTTAGCATCCTTAACTGGTGGCCCTTCCGCATTTAATCGCCTCGAAAGCTCCTCCCAGAGTCTGTTGGACGAGACTCTGCCTTGCGCGGAATTCGGGAGATTATTTTTCGCTAAACTGGGGTGATTTGCCATGAAATCCGCCATAATTTCCTTCTGGGTGAGGTTTAATTTATTGCAGTTAGTCCTATATCAATAATATTAGTTAAAAATCATATTTAAATATATATTTTTACAATTTACTTACATTTTATCTTAAATTCGATCGTTTACGATTGCTTGTTGGTGTTCGAATGACATTTCGAACCAACGAGTACGTTCGTTACTCGTTGACGGATGATATCATAACGAATTACGATATCAAGGTCACGTTCACGTATGTAATAATCCGAAAAATGTGTTTTTACGTGACGAGTAGTACGATATCGTATGTGACGATTCGAGCCCAGATTATATTTTCAGTGCAATTATTCGTATGGTTTTTGCAGCAACCACTGGGTAGCTCAACTTTCAATAAATCTTTTGATCCCTTAAGTACTGCTACACCTAACATTAGACAATGTTGCCACAATCATTGAGTGTTGCTAACAGGATTAAATGCCGACAAAATGAAACAGAGACACAACATCTTTATGCCGAAGATATGCAATTCTTACTCCTACCATCTTCACACGTTGCCTTTCGCCCGCTGTCTGCGCTTTTTAATTTTCTTTCAACTACTTAGCGACACTGCATGCCACATTGCCGAAAATTTTAATTTAATTTGAACAATAACAAAAGCAATTTTTTAATACTGGTAGGTACACACTTTCACACAAAGTTGGTTTGTACATTTTCAAATAAGTAACTGAGTAAGCGGGTGTTGTCGTTCGGTAAGCGTGTGTGTGCGTAAATTAATTTTTGGATTTTAATCGTTATAATTGCATCTAGTATGTATGTATCTATGTATGTATGTATGTGTTTGTGTGGATGTGGAAGCTCGTTTCGTGAACCATTAGGGGTATTCTCTGAGTCTTGCAAAGCCCTTGCGCGGTGCACGGATTGCACGGTTTGCAAAGCTGTCCCATACGAAAACCGGTTTTAACCGTGCAATCCGTGCAATCTGTGCACCACGCAAGGGCTTTGCAAGACTCAGAGAATACCCCTATTGAATTCGAGTGCAAGTGAACTGCAAGACGTATGATCCTGCAACAAAGAAATCAGCCACACAGCTCAAGCAGCTGGCAGTTTGAAACATAAGTGAATTAAATGCATTCAAAGGTTTCACTATGAAAATATTTTGTGAGTAGTGAATAAGTGAATGAAATAAATAACGCAAAATTTGTGGTAGATGGAGCGTGCGCATGCTGGCTGAAGTAGGTAGTTGTAATCCAAGGTTTGTGCTCTGAAAATCAAAAAAGAGAAATATTATGCATTGGAATTCGATTGAAGGGATTTTAGAAAAAGGATCAGTTTGCAACATGAAGGAAATGAAAATAATTTTAATGCCTTAAGAAGTTCTTGCTGAAGTTCTAGTAGCTCAAGTGGAAGGTGAAAAAAGTTGTTTGTCGCAATATGAGGATTATGTATCAATGCACACGAAATTACTATAACGTGTATAATATGCATATAAATAGCCATACTTTGTATTAGTGGTTTTCTGTTTTGTCTTTAGCAACAAGTTTTCTAAAAATGTTATTAAATATAAAAATATAAATTTTTCTTTTTAAAACAATAAAAATATCAGAAAATTAAAACAAAAAAAAAGTTTAATAAAAAAAATTATGAAATAAGTTTTTAAAAATTAAATGAGATTAAAAAAATATTTTGGTGTTTAAAATTTAAATCTGAAAATTAAATAAAAAATTTATAAATAAATAAATAATAAATTTTAGATAGTACTCCATATTTTGAAATTGTAGAAATTATCGGTGGTCAGAATTTAAAAAGTTAAGAGAAATATAGGTCTTTTTTAATTTACCCGATTAAAAATCCGAACAAGCTTAGCCCGATAATAAATCATTATATACCATTTTAAAGGTATTCTCAGATCATGTTCGATATTTGAAATCGAATAAATAGTCATTCAAAAGCTTATAAATCTACAAGATCGCATTTTCTGACTTAAATCGACAAGTCGCGACCTCTAAATGAACTTTAACAAGTAATTTTTACCGAAAAAAACGACTTAAAAAAATATATATATCTATATATATTTAATGATCCAATGATCGGATCTAAACCAGATTAGTATGCGAATTTTCGAAATCGGTTGACGTGGCCCAAAGTTATGCGGTAACATACAAAAAAAAAAAAGAAGAATATTCCGACGAACTGAAAACCTGCTCCTTTTATGGAAGTCGGTTAAAAAAAGTATATAAAAATAGGCAATAGTAGTGAATAAAATTAGGGAGTAGGGTCCTGAAATTTCAAAAAAACCCTCTCCGATGGGCACCCTTATATACATACATAAAAAATTGCTCGTTGAAGTTAACAAAATCAACCTTTGAAAATTGATGTGATTAATTTTGAAAATTTAAGTTTACCATGTCAACGTTGTATAATTTGGCAGTTCGCGCTAGTTTGCCAACTTCGACGCTTATATGTATGTATGTATGTATGTGCTTAAAAAATGAAAAAAAAAATTAATTTCGTCAGTTGAAGTCGGTCAAAAACGCCAAGTAGTATTCCCAATTTCGGCAAAATTCAATTGAAAATTATTTTATTGTTGTTGCCGTCAAGTGAAGTGTGGCAGGCACTTTACCTGAACTCCCAATTCGATGTCTACAGGGATTCGCAATACAAAATTCAACAACTTGCATGCTTGTGTATTTTAAAGATCCTAGTAAATATACATACATATATACATTAGGGCGGGTCAATTTTTATAGGAGATTTTTCTGACTATGCGCGTATAGCACAGAAGGATTCTATCTGTAATTATAAGCAAATTTGTCGGAGAAAATCAATTTGGAGTTTGCCAAATTGCGAAAATAGATTTCTCAGCATTTTGCTCTAGTGTCGTAGAGAAGTGCTTAAATTTTGCATATATATAAGGAGTTTTTAGTAGGAGAAATTCATTTCTGCACTTACCTTTTTCTTAAAACTTCGACCAGATTGCGCATCAGTGAGAATTTTCACATTTTCTTCGAAACCTATTTTCGCAATTTGGCAAACTCCAAATTGATTTTAGACTAATGGGTTCTTCGGCAAATTTGCTAAGAGTTACCTTGAATTTTCTTATGCTATACGCGCATAGTCAAAACATTGACCTGCCCTAATATACATACATACATACAGTTGGCTGGAAATCACAACATTTCACTTTTTTTTGTTATTTTTTTTATTATTAATTTTTTGCAATTTTCACCGTTGCAACACAACTTTATAAGCATGCAACAAGGCTATAAATAATATCTATTTGGATGTGAAAATATTGCAGACAGGAGAACGTGAATTTTTTATTGTTTTATTTTTATTTATCGCAGTGAAATCCCTGTTGTCTGCTGCCAACTATGTACCTGGCTAGCGCACGCAAAATTGAGGATTGAAATATTTTATTGCGATTTAAAATATGATTGCGCGCAAAATTATGTGAAAACTTTATTTTAAGAATTTTGAAATATTTGCACACAATGGAATCTGCAAAGTGAAATTTTTCGTGGAATTTAAGTTGTCCAAAGTTTTTGTGGGCTGTGAAAGGCTGCGCGTAGCATAGAAATGAGAGTCAAGTGAAGGTGCTAAGTCGCACACTTGCGTACAAGTGCAAATACTACAAAGGAGCAGGATTATAGATAAGAAATAAAGCTGCGAAAATATCAAATTTCTTCAATTATACGCTACAATTCACCATCAGCTTTTGAGCACAGTCGCAGCGAGAGGTAATTTTCAAAGGTTGCACGCGCTTTAAATAATGATGCGTATCCTTTTCACTACACTCTGTCCCTGAAATATTGTGACACCATTAGCAAAATACAACAAAAAGAATTTATGTTCACTGCCATCGCCAGATAGTCGTGGTTAAAGCCTTCACCTACTCGTATATAAGATATAAGATTTCGACTATTATTTGTAGCTAAGCATGGCATTAAAGGCTTTTGTTTTCAGTGGCTGCTATCTGAAACAATGGAATTTCTAATATTATGAATTCCGCGCGGCTAGATTTGTGGCAGTGCGTTTAAATTGCTTGAAATCATTTTTGCGGTGAGTAGATTAGAATTATTTGAGAGTTGAGCTTATATATATTTGGAAGATTTCGATTTTACAGAAGATTATAGATTTATAAGTGTATGGATTAATGCATATCAAGGTGTCGCCAAATTTTTTTTGCGATATTTAATATGTATGCACACTAAATGCTTTCCTTTTAGACTACTAAGAAACGTATATGTTTTTCGTCAAAAACATGTTTTTGGTCGAAAATGGTGGCATACTTACCTTAGACAGTGCATTGTCTTCAGTTTTGTACAAATAACAAGATTTCATTGCGAAATTGCATTTAAATGAAAATTTAAAAAAGATATACAAAAAAAAGTAAAAATAACAACTCGTGCTCATATACATACCCGTAGTTGTTTATGTAGCGTATACGCCGCGTACAGCCAGTTAACACGTTTATCCCACGTCTTAATTTAAAAGTCATATTATTTAAAAGTAATTGCATATTGCCGTGGAATATCTTCTACAGAATTCTTCCCGAATATATGTACCTATATATCTACTAGTTTCTTCATGTACATATATAACAATCTTAGAATGAATTTCGAGTGTGCCAATAAAAATTGTAATATTGGAATTTTTGTTTCGCAAATCATCGTCATCTTATAATCAATGTAGTTCTTTTCAATTTGGTGGCACGATAGTTTTTCTTACTCTAGATTGGCTTGGTTTGGCAAAATAACTTTTTCATCGTTTATGTTAACATTTTGAAGTGTCCTAAACTTTTAAAAATCAAAAATCGTTCGCACAGGGGTCAAAGTTCAGATTACCTATGAACACGCCTTAACCGACTCCAATCGGGGCCAACATTTATATGTGATATCTTCGTAGTATCTATTTTGGGTAGTAGACGAAAAAAAAAAATTAATTTAAAATTTTTTGAGTCTCTATTAATCTATACGTTGCCAATATTAACTTTAATTTTAATTTTAATGTTAATATCAATTTTAATTTTAATTTTAATTTTAATCTTAGTCTTAATCTTAATCTCAATCTTAAACTAATCCTAATCTGCATCTGAATCTTAATCTTAATCTGAAGCTTAATCATAAACCAAATTTTATTCTTAATCTAAATCTTAGTCTTAATCTTAGTCGTAATATTAATCTTAATATTAATTTTAATTTTAATTATAATGTTAACCTTAATCTGAACTTTGACCTTGATCTTAACCTTAATCTTGATCTTAACCATTATCTTAACCTTAATCTTAGTGTAGTTGGGATTTAAAGCCAACCAAGCGCGAAGAAGTTTCACTTTAAATTATCTCTTTTTCCTAAATACTTCAACATACATAATAGAGGCTCTCCATTTTTATTTGCTATAGCAAGCCATTTGTTAGCGAAGCTCCATTGAAAGAGGCTTTCAAAATTCGGTGAGGTAAAATTCCTCAAAGAAGTCACTTATATTCATTCTTCAAAATATTTCCTTGTTTTAAATTCTAAATTTACTAATCATTTTCCGTCTGGGCAAATTTGTTATGAAAATATTTAATTTCACTAAATTTTAACCAAGCTTAATTATTGTATGATTTTTTTTTTGCTCCCAGTAAACTGGCACGTCAATGCACGCTTGCATAAATCCATTTAAATTTTCATACATTTAAATTATTTTAATGGATTCCTCTTCATGCTTTTAGATATTCTCCGCATAAGAAAGTGCTCCCATGACGGCGACGGAATTGCCCTGTTCACTGCTGCTTGACCTAATTTAAGTGCCGGCGTGTATCTAAAAATAGTTGGGATATCGTAAAAATAGAAATTAGCTCGCGATAAATAAAATTTCAAGCATTTTAAATGACGATGTTTTTTATACATACATATGTTAATGGAAACAAAAAGGGTAAATACATACAATTTTTGGAAAATAACAAGGTAAATTCTAATAAGGTCGTGTTGTTTCATTAGCTGTGAATGGGGTTTAATTGTCAAAATTTTGTATTTCGCTAGCGGGTGAGTGAAACGTGAGTGTACTTATTTGTATTTTATTTCCCTTTTCTTCCTTCAGGGAATAATAGCTGAACTTTGAAACGGCCCACTAAAAGCAATAGAAAAATGCATGTAAGTTTTGTATTTGTAGAATCGACACCATTTTTAATGAATTCGCTTTGGATAATAACTTATGAAAAATTAGAAAGTCATATAAAGCCAATTCAATGCCTATTGGGTAAATTTGTTGTAGAAATCGATATTTCTAAATAGCTACCGTACATATTTACTGTGATTAAGCCAGAAGAGTCTATACATCCAGTTTCTGCAAATAACTTGATTTCAGAGTTACCTAGTGTGTAAATTTTTCAGATTAATATACATATGTATATTTTTTTTATGTCGATTTTACAAAAGACGAGCTCAAACGATAGCATTTAAGATCTTATAGATACAAAACGTTTAAGAAAACAAAAATCGTAAACAAATATTTTATATATTGAAGGCTTCAATACCAACCATCTGCAATTTTTATAAAAATTAGTTTCTCATTTTTGAAACTATATGTGACTGTTTTATTTCATGTTGCTTGTTCTACAGCTTTCGTACAAGTGGTATTTATTGAATAATCATGTCCTTACCTTATGACATTCGGCACACTACCCGATGTAGTGTTGCCAGCTATACATATTAGAACATCCCTCTTTTTCTGGTATTGTTTCATTCATCCTTACTAATAATTCATGGACTTCATTTCTGGCAAATACATTACATGCTACTAAACTATTAAAGTTGAATTTGAATTCATTTCAATAGGAAAATGAGATAAGTCTTAAATTGTTAATTACGATACATTTCAGCAATAGGCTTCTAAACGTTTTGGTGGTTTTCGATCTCTTTTTGGATACCTGCCCGGTGCTGTCGGAGTCTTGGCTCCTTCGGTTTCTTTTGGCAAGTCTTCGGTTCCTTTTGGAAGGTCTAGTTGGGATGCCATACCAATCTGCGATGCTCCATGCGAGGATGTTAACGAAGATTGTGCTCGTTAACGAAGATTGTGCGAGGATGTTGACTGATACTTTGTTTGAGCTGCTACTTGCGAGGATGTTGACGGACACTTTATTTGTGTCGTTGACTCGCCTCGCTTCGGTGACCAAGCTCAGGTGCTCCCACAGATGTTGGTTGTAGTTCGATAGACCTAGTCGTTAGTTGTTGGGAGCAAACTGGACTTGACGTCATCGTTAACGGTGTCTTCACAGAAGATGGAATTTTCGGTGGGCACGCTCGGACGTTTTGTTTTGTCGATCCCTTACGTATACTTTTCCTTCACATTCGACTTGATATTTGCGCATAGACTGTTTGTCGCTTACAACTGCCGGTTTCCAACTGCTATCTTCGTGTGGCTTCAGCTGCACGTATATGTCCTGGCCTAATTCCAGCTCTGGCAGTTGTTTTGCTCGCTTGTCATGATGAAATTTTGCTTTCTTACGCGCTTCTATGATTTTATTTGGTACATTGTGGTGAACTTCTGGTCGCAACCGCGATTGTTTCATTGGCAATTGTGTTCATAAACGACGTGAATATAGCCATTGGGCTGGGCTTGTCTGCATGTGGTTGGGTGTGTTACGCCATTCTAACAGCGCTAGCCAACGATCTTGTCCACTTTTATCTGCTCGCCGAAAGATACGTTTGACGATTTTGACTGCCGGCTCTGCTTTCCCATTTCCTTGATGGTGATGTGGTGACGACAAAGCTACTTTCATAGCCCAATTTCTTGCGAACTTTAGAAACTCTCTACTGTTGAATTGCGTACCCGAATCCGCTACGACTACCGATGGTATTCCTTGCCTACTAAATAACCGTTTGCAAGCTAACACTATTGTTGAGGCTGTCATACTTCGAAGCTCTTCCACTTCTATCCAGTCTGAGAATGAGTCGGAAACAATTAGCAAAATTTCTTTGGAGTTACCTGTCTGTCGTTGAACTTCGCACAGGTCCATATTAACACGTTGAAATGGCAACTCCGGAATCGGTGACGACTGCAGTGGCAGCTTGGCCTGACTTGTCGACGTTTCCCAACACGTTTGACAATTTTGAATGACATTTTTGATGTGGTCAATTATATTTGGCCAATAAACTGTTTCTCGAGCTCGACGTAAGCAGGATTCGATTCCCGTATGTCCATAATGTAGGGCCTCAATAGTTTGTGCTCTTAAGTTTCTCGGTATGATGATTCTATCACCGCGTAGTAATATTCCATCACAGATTGTGATCTCATCGCGTATATTCCAGTAACGCTGAATTATCGTTCTTACTGCTGACTTTTCATTTGGCCAACCTTTCTGGCAAGTTTCCATTAGCTGGCGAATTTCCGGATCCTGCTCACTCTCTGAGCGAATACTCGTTAGATGATCATCATTCAGTGATACTTCACTTAAGAGATTGATATTTTGAATTTGCATGCACATTTCAGCGAATTGTTTTGTCTGTTGTATCGCGTACACTTGCTCATCTTGTGTGTCGGCCACTTGCTGGTGCTTGAGGCATTTACGCGATACAAGATCCGCAATGAATATTTCTTTACCATTTTTGTACTTCAGTAAGTATGATATCGTATCGCTGTAGGCGTAGCATCATGCGTTGCACTCTTTTTGTCGCTTGCGCAACCGGATTGTTGAAAATGTTGACAAAAGGTTGATGATCCGTTTCGACTTCGATGCCTGCCTTGCCACACACGTACTGATCAAAACGAGTGCACGCGAATACGATTGCTAAGCACTCTTTCTCAATTTGTGCATATTTTGTTCTCGATCTGGACTTTTTCATCGACGTTATAGAATTGAAGCACTGGCGTTGCTGTGGTGAGCTGTTTAAGTCTCTCGAATGCATGCTGTTGCTCGCGTCCCCACTTGAATTCAACGTTCTTATTTGTGAGCCTTCTTAGCGGCTCGCGCACCTCCGAAAGTTGTGGTAAGAATTTTCCTAAGTACGTAGACATGCCCAACAAACATTGTACTTCTGTAACGTTTTCTGGCCTGGGCATTTCGGCTACGGCTTTTACTTTTTTCAGGATCAGGCTTTAATCCTTCTGACGATAGTCGGTGCCCATAGTAGCTGACTTGTCTTAGCCTCTTGCTTTCTTCCGGTTTAGCTTCAACCCTGCTTTTTCTAATGTTTGCAATGTATTGCGTAGTTTCTCATTATGGTCTTTTATTGCTTCGTTGAGCGTTTTTCCTCTGCCAAACATCAAAATGTCATCAGCTAACACTATTATACCTGGGACTCCCTGCAAGATTTCGACTTGCCGGTTTTGGTAAATTTCTGGAGCTGGCGTAATCCCAAACGGCATTCTTAACCATCGATATCGACCGAATGGTGTCCAGAACGTCGTTAGATGACTGGACGACTCGTCTAGCTTTAGCTGCCAAAATCCATTTTTTGCGTCTAAAGTGGTGAATATTTTCGCATCCTTGAGTTCGGGCAATATTTCTGGTATCTGAAAAGGCGACCTTTTAAGAGCTTTATTTAACTCGAGCGGGTCTATACATAACCTGATTTTGCCGTTTCTTCTGACGATAAGACAGTTGCTTGTCCACGGTGTGTGCTTGTCGACTTTTTCAATTATTTTCCGTTTTTGAAGATCCCGTTGCAAGTCGTGCAATTCATTACGTACGGCGATTGAAATTCTGCGTGGTTGCTGCTGTACCGGCTTGGCGCTTGGATCCACCTCTAAATGTACTTCTCCCTCGATGAGACCATCGCCTTCAAAAACGTCAGCAAACTGATTCCGTATACATTCACTCGACGACATTGTTTCAATTGCGTTCGTTTCTTTAATCTGAATGATTTTTAAGCCTTGACACGTGTTTGCAGACAAAAGTGGAATTTGCGGATTTTTTACCACTTGAAACTTTATTTTCCTTATGTCATTCTCTGTTCTACATTTCAGTATAGCTGACCCAATTGGTTGTACTATATTTCCCCCGAAACCTCGTAAAAGCACTGTTGTTTCATTTATTTTTATCTCCTTAGCGACAATGGCTTCCAGTTCTCGGCAACCAATTACTTTGCAAGTCGACCCTGTGTCACAAAAGCATTTCACTTGAACTTCTTTATTTCTAACTAGAAATTTAAGCTTAGTGTAGATCAATTTTGCGTTATTCGCTTCCGATCGAATATTATTAATCATGTTTAAGCATTCTTCGCTGTCGCTGTCTGTCTCTGCTTCCTCGATTTTTGCTAATCGTTTTCGCTGCCGTCGTTCTGTTTTCGTGTATTCGGTCGTTGCTTACAGACCTTTGCCAAATGATTTTTCTTGTTGCAGTTTTTGCATATTCTTCCATAAGCTGGACATTTATTTCGATTAGCTTTGGTGTATTTTGCATGCACACCTCCACAATACTGACATTTATGTTTGTTCACTATGTTCACGTGCTCTTCCATATGCAAGTTGTCTTTCATCGTTGACATCTGTATGTCAGCCTGCTCCGCTACTTGACAAATGTTTATTGCCTCCGACAACGTTAGATATTTCGTCGTTAGCAATCGTTTTCTAACGTGATCATCTCGAATGGTCAATACTAGTTTGTCCCTAATGAGCTCGTTTTCCATTGCCCCGAATTCGCAAGTCGCTGTGAGTTGCCATAAGCGATGAATGAAACGCTCGATTGTTTCACCTTGTTCCTGTTTTGCAGTATTAAATGTGAATCGATCGTAGATGATGTTTCTCGATGGAACAATGTGTGACTCCAGCGCATCTAATATACCAGAGATAGACAGCTTCTGCTCAGGAGTAATCGGCAACGCATTATATAATTTAAAACCGGCTGGGCCAATTATTGTTTTACCTACTTAGCCTCTAGCCCTGCTGCAATTTCATAGTTTTCAAAGGCTGCTCTGAAAAATTTCCATTCGTCTGCTATATTTGCCGCAGCGAGATTAAGTGGTAAGGGTACTGGAATGTTCGACATTTTCACGCTCCTATGATTTGACGGTTGCTGCGGGATTACTGGGTCTATTGTAGTTTTCTGTGCCGCGCCCGTGTGAATGTACGGATGTCGATATGCTCACACGTGGTGGTCACTTTATTGGGGTGCTGTCTAATCGATGTGCGGATTTCGATACCTTCTCCCGGATGCTCTTTGGTCGCGGGACTTTAATCAATGCTGGATCCCCGATGTGTCGGATGCAAGTTGCTTAAATTTGCGAAATATTAGTTTGATGCACTCACATCCCACTTCTGACACCATGTTTTATTTCATGTTGCTTGTTCTACAGCTTTCGTACAAGTGGTGTTTATTGAATAATCATATCCTTACCTTATGACATTCGGCACACTACCCGATGTAGTGTTGCCAGCTATACATATTACAACAGGGACTTAGGTGCTATTTCCAAGAGGCAGCGATAAAAACGCTTATTATTTAAAGCTGAAGTCGGACTTGCAGCAAGTGGCTAGGAATATAAAAATGTAGTTGTATCAAAGTCCTTTGGAGCCTTAGAAAAACAAATAAACAAATGCAAGGAAAATACAAAAGAAGCCGCAGATACTATCTTGTATGAACAGTTGCAGTGGTAGCTCTACATTGGCAGCTGACTCAAATAGAAATCTCACGTCAAGGCGAAGATAAATCGAGCGGGTACACCCAGCGTTACAGGGAAATTGGTTTTTCGAAAGACTGTGGTGAGGTGAAAGACAGTTGCCAGAATTGCCTTGTTAATAAATGTTCATTATTGTTGCTATTAAAGAGGCGTATTAACATCTTGGTTTTTCTGTACGTTTGGATTGTTACTAATAACCAAATTTTTTTTTATAACATTACATACTGCACTTCCTTCAACGGACCGACTAAAAATATTTATCGAAGCCGCTACGAGCAAACGGTCATTTTCAACTCTAAGAAGATTAAAACCCTATCTACGCAACAGGACTAGAGAAGAGCAATTGAAACGATTGGCACTTTTAAATATTCATCGAGATGTGGAAATTCGCAGTGAAATGGTATTGGATATTCCGGCAAAGAGAAATATGGAGAATGGACATAACTCTTGAAGATATTGGGCATTATGAAAAAACTAAGCAAATGGAAGCCATTTGACTTAAATATATTTGAATAAATCGACCAAGAGGTCTGAAATTTTAAGAAAAAGCAATTGTAAAATTTTTAATCATAAGGTCCATTGCTTCGGTTTGTTGAAGGCATATATTTATTCAACTTTCGTTTTGCTTTTATAAATGCAGTTGCAAAAATAATTTTAAGTAATTCAAAATTAATTGCGGTATGCGAGTGCACACAATTTATTATATATTTTTAATTTGGAGCCCTCTTCCCACAAAAAAAATTCTGGATCCCTCTCTGAGACTGAGGCGATAGCCACTTCGTAGGCTGGTTGAAACCATTCATTTGGAATAAATGAAGAAGCAGTACCGTCCCTTTTCAAGTAGTTCGACGCGAGTTCAAAACCAGTTTGACTTACTGCAGGGTAAGCTATTAAAGATGTACAGGCGAAACATGCCTTAAAGTATGCTTTTGATATGAAAACCTTGCTACTATCTGGGAGCTATCAATGCTGAGGTGTCTAAGGTGGTCTGTGGTGATTTTAATAATACCTCTATATAAATGTTGGTGTCAGATTTAGTACTTAAATTGTTGTAAATTGGTTTGCTCTTAAATCATAAGCAAATTTGTTGAAGCAAACGGCAAACTCTGTACCACAAAGTACCTCGTTTGCTTCGAAAATACTGCACACATATATGTATGTACGTATGTATCTAGGTATTCCCAAAATCATATTCCTCTACAGCCCTAATTGTGCTTTTGTGTTTGATTTTCAATTTAAAAGGAAATGATTTACGGGATTTACTTGTGCGATTTCCATCAATACGTACAATAGCAAACAACAATGCAAAACATACATATGATAAAGAAATAAAATGTATGTGTATGCGCCATAAATAATTCCATACTAAGATTTCAGTGCTGATGATTTTATTCAAAAGGAATAAACTAAAGGAATCGAAAGGTTGAAGTCGTGGGATTATTTAGTAGAAGAAGCAGGTAAACAAGCAAGCGTAAGAAATGTAGCTGTTGAGCATTCGTCAGTTATGAGTGACTTTTGTAAGTGTATAAGAAGGAATGTGTGAGTATACCATCAATTATATAAATAGGCAATCATGTTTCCTTTACACCCCTTTTACGGCTAAACTATACTTCTAAGGTATAAATAATTATATATCATAAGAAAGGTATTTTGATGCTGTTGTGCAGGCAATTTTTAAAATTTCAAATTAGTTTAAAATAGAGCGAAGAAATCAATTCAAAAGACACACCAATACCAATGCCATACATGTACGTGGTTGGGGCGGAAATGCCTCCTAAATGTATGCTTTAATATTGATACTGAATTACAGAAACGTGCTAAGCAGCAGTATAGGAATAAGATGTATTTATGTACATATATATACATTAGACTCAAACAAGGAAGAAGGTAAAGATGAGTATGGAGAAGAAGAAAGAGCTAAATACAGAAATTAAAATAAAAGTAAAGAAACCTAAATATAAAGACAAAGAGGAAGGAAAATGTAAATGCCTAACATAATAACAATGGTGGGGGTGAATATGTATATGAAGAAAAGAATGGACATATTTAGATCAGGATAAAGGAAAAGATAAAGTTAAAGAATAAGATGAACACCAAGACGAGGAAGAAGATGAAGACGAAGACGAAGACGAAGACGAAGA